TTTTTTTACTGAAAAGTTTTCGATCATATGTGGCATCAATAGTGCTCCTAACGGGACGACCCGAAAGTGATCTGGCTATAGTAAATTTATATGGGTCATGACCCATATACTTAATTTACTATAACCTGATCAGTTTTGGGTCGTTCAGATCAAATCCATTAGGACACTAGGCATCAATAAGCGATCATATTTACCAATGCAATAAAATCTCGATATACACATGCAAAAGTAAAAGCGATTATAAATACTTTATCATACCATCTACGTGTTAAAATAAAGCCCAAAATATGGGTAGACGTATTTTTTTCGACACGAAAATACAATATATTCATAATAGCCAAAGCAACCGATAAAATAATTATTTCTATTATACTAATTTTATTTTTCTACTATAATTTAAGCTATTATGCGGTTTCGATCCTTTCTAGCCAATCATCATTTGGAAACCACTGAAATTTTAAACTTTGTTAAGATATATTACAACAAAAAAACATATATTAATCTATAAATTATCACCTCTTTAAACATGTCTTTTGCCCGATCAAGGGCAACCGAAGCATTTGGTCGGTTATCTGGATTACTTTTACACAAATCTATGCTGAAGTTCAAAAGTTCTTGAGGAATGCCTGTGACATTACATGAACCGACTAAATTCCCAACGCCCCAAATATCAACCTTAAAATCATGCTTTTTATTTAGCATTTCTGGAGCATGATCAATTTCAGAAAATTCTTTTAAAGGCTCATCAGAAGGAGAAAAATTAGCGTAGTCAAAATCAATTAAAAAGAATTTTTGATATTCATCATAACGGCGAATAATGTTTGGCCATCGAACATCTCTGTGCATTATCGGTTTAGGCTTACTTTCGTGCATACACTGTTTGAATATTTAAAAAATGTATAAATATAATATATATACGTAATAGTGAAAAAATATCGCAAATTTTACCCTCAAACAAGTTAGTATACAAATTAATGCTTGCAGCAATTCTTTAAGATCATTTGGTACTCGTTGTTCTCCACGTGGCGCCAAATTAACTGAATACGTAGATACATGTTCTAACTTGTCGCAAAATTTAACTTTATTTGCCTATATAAATAGTTAGAATAATAGTTAGAATATACCAGATACACTAAAAAAGGTGGAATTTTTGAAAATGGATACTTATAAGCATCTCCCGCGGGAGACGTATCTTGTATCCGTTAACCAATAGCGAGCCACAATTTAGTGTAACGTAACACGATCAGAAACAAACGTTAGTTCGAAGAAAAAAACATCTACTTCTCAAATAAACGCATAAGAAACCTCCTTTCATGCATAAACAAAAAGTTTTCTTTGGGAAAATTTACATATACCGTATAAACGCGGAATAACGCCTGTAGGCGTTATTTTGAAAATCGGAACCTTTAAAAATAGTATATGTAGTTTCGAATTAATGCCCATGTGCGTCCTGAAATAACGCGCATCCTTCTCTAAAAAAAATAAAGAATAAAAAGTGCTTCGGAAAGATTTGGTACTAAGTAACCTGTTTTCGCGATCTAACAAAGTTGTTCTTTATACTAAGACAATTATAACAATGGTAAAAGCAGGTTTACTTAGTATAAAATCCAGTTCCGGTGCACTTTCATTTCTTACTATACTTCTTATAATGCAGAGGGGTTTATTTAATCTATATTTCGAAATAACGCACATGGGCGTATTCGAAATAACGCGCAGGTGAGCGTTATTCCGCGTTTATACGGTATTTCTTTTATTCCTAACCCTAAACTAAGCACTATCCTAACATAAATAAACTTTAAGGAATTTTGGGATCATAGGCAGAAATTCGTCTGATTGGCTAATGCAAATCAATTGCCCGGGTAACTTATTTATATGTTTTAGAGTATTT